ACACTTGTTTGGCACTTGCTTGTAGTCGAGCTCACACGAATGCTATCCAACGAAAATCCCCTTAAAAAGGAACCGCGAATCTTCTTCGAAGACGTCCAGCTCCACCATCGAGCTAAAGGATTCTGCCTCATTGATGTCATAGAACGTGAAGTTGGTGGAGGCAAGATATTTTGAGCGTCATCATCACATGCGGTGCTCGACACAGACACGATGTGACTTCACACTTGGAGAGCGCACTCCTTCGGCTATAGGAAAGACTTCGCAACCACACGGTTTGCACTAAGTGAGTTGAAGAAAGAAGAGTGTGAGCACTGGAAGACCTCGTGGTAGCTCAGTAACGGTAGCAAATAGTGGTTATGCAGCCAAAGTCGGAGCTTGCACATCCAGTATCCGCGTCGCACTTCACTTGCAGCTGTTAAGAACGAGCAACTTTTATACCCAAACCGTAAATCAATAACTTGACTTCATCAGATGTTCCCTCGTTTTCTCATAATTATCCAGTAAATCACAAGGAGGTTCGGGGAGTTTCATGTGAAATATTGGCGCTCTTCGGTTGGAGGGCCATCTAATCTGAGAGGTCATTCAGATTCTGGCGCGCTTTTTCAGAAACGCTTTTTATTGCATGACGTAGGGAACCGTAACTGCGACGCGTAATGGAAGTTCCACACACAACTTCTACGTAATCTTGTCCACCACGACGTTTTCGAGAGTGCTTTCAAGTCAAAACCTTCAAAGTCACCTTGTTGGTTGAGGATTCATATCTACTTGTGAGACCTTCTAAACAATTTGTTAATAGAAGTATGGTTCGGTGGAATCGTCAGATGGCATGTCTCAATTTGGCAAGAATTGTCAATGAGACGCGAGGGATACAGGTTCGTGCTGGGCGCATTCTTGCCCTTCCGAGATCCGCTCTCTGTCCTTGGTCCGTGCAAAGATATCCTCTTGTTCGGATATCAATGATCCCATCGTCTTACCATGACAATGCATATGCTCCTGTCTTTATTATTGACAGTGAGAGAGCTATACGAATTCATCAAGATCTAATGAATAGCTCTATATCGCATTGCAGGGCCACGTATTATAAGTGGCAGCTTAGTCTGAACGCTTACTACGTGGATTTATGGCATGGGTTGTTTGACTGGGACAAGGAACATCAGTTGGACTCTGAGCAAGAAATGTTCTTCTCTGGAGCTGACTCTGAACCCAATCGGCAAAAGTTCTTTGCTCCTTCCTACGGCGCTAGGAGGGCGACCTGATTGGCATTAAAAAAGATCTTGTGTCGACAGGGTGAAACTGTTTGTCGCTTAGTTTATTTAGGATGAGATACCAACTTTTCCCCAAAGTAGTTTAAGGCGGTCAATTTAAACATCTCTCAATTCAATTGGCTGACTTGAGCTGACTTGAGGCCCTTTATCTGTGGAGTCTTCTGGAAACATGGTTTGGCACGCCTGCGGGCGAAAACCACGGGAAATCGGAACGATGCGTGGTGGGTCCTTTATATGTGGAAAGCTGATGAAGCAGTTAGAGGAAATCTTGTGAACTCTTGTTGTCCTTTGGATTGAAATTGATTGATCCTTAAGAAAAAAAAGGAGTAACTTGAGAGGAGAGGTTGTTCCATCACTTTGTAAAAGTAGTCACTCTGTCAAGGACGCAAATTGATAGTTCCACGGCATGTTTTCCCGCTGCGTATGATTTTTGTTCGATAGATGTGTTACATCATTAAGACTTGACTTTTTGCTTTTCTCTAGGCTGTGGAAAGAGGAAATCTGTTTCGGGCTTCGAAAAAGAACGGATTGTGTCAGAGTCAAGGATTGTCGTAGATTCAGATCGCATAGGATTTGGGCCGTAGTGATCTTGCTGGCAACATTTTTGTCAAGTATCCTGCGAGTTATGGAATCAAGAACTCTGGTTGGCCTTCTTCGCTCTCCGACTGAGATAAGCGCTGTATTTTGAGAGAAGCATCAAGTTTAATGATGGTCTGCCGGGAAATTAATTTATCTTGGGAACTTAGTATCTCGGAGGGGACCTACCCGCGTGTCTCGAAAAAGGCCGACCTTGTATTTCGGAGGAATGAAAGGTACCGTTCTTGATAGAAAATCAATGCGAAAATCGAACATTACTAGAGAATGTCGCTGAACCAATCGGAGCAGGGGTCATTCCAAGTTTTTTTTCCAGGTGGTGCTAGATGCGTGAAAACTTTGAAAACTTGGCCTCGAACGACCTACTGGCACGACCTGAAGGAAGACAAGCGACAAGCTTCTTTTTCTCCAGGCGGACTTTCAGAGGGGTAGTGGCATGGTATGGGCTGCCATCACATCAACGGGAGTTGCGAAGCTTTGCTTCGTGTCCGCAAAATTGAACTCTTCCGATTATCTGACCGTCATGTAATTTAACCTCCTTTAGGAATCGTCAAGAATGTCGTTTCTATGCATGATAATGCGCCATTTCATGTCAGCCGAAGCTCTCGAGCGTGGTTCGGATGTCATCAGATCGCTTGTTTGCCATGACCAGCGAACAGTCCCAACATGAAGCCAACCGAAAATGTGCGCGGCGTCATGGTGCTTCAGATTAATGCGAACAGTGCGCGATTTCAAGTGAGCTTAAGGAGTCAGTCATAGATGCATTGCACCATGTCGATGAGAAGCTTATTGAGAGCCTCTATTCGAGCATGCACA